CAGCAATCAACAAATAAAAAACAAGTCCCAATCAATTATCGATTACTGGCAGGATTAGATTCCATTTGATAAGCAGCTCCTTGAATCATTGGTTCTTTATGATTGCGTTGTTGCTCTATGAATCTCTCTGCTTCTTATTTCAATTTTTTTCAAAGTTTGAATTTGAAAGCTAGAACTTGACTTACATCAGAGCGTCACTATGATGCTTTCATGCGTGTGGTTCATTCTACTTTAAACGTTCTGTTATTTGCGCTGTTATTCTGCGCGGTTGCTCCGCGAAAACATGCACTGATCCATGACCCATGAAGAAAACGATAAAAAAAAGCAAGTTTAGGGTAAATAATTAAAACTAGCAATAAGACGGGCACAAGTACTAGGAACACGTTGATGTTTTTAAGAAATTATCCACTCAAAGCTATTCAGCTATCATGAAGAATATTGAGTTTACAACATATTGAGTTCAACACCCTCGACGAAGATGGCGCAATGCCAAGTGGCGGCATGTACCACACGCAAAGTTCAGGGTTGCCATTTCAGATCAAATCTCACCATGATCAATCAAACTTTCCATCCCTCGTAGGTGGAGTAATTGGTACCAGAACCGTCTGGCGGGACAAAGCACTGTCTTGCACTGCCAACCCCCGCGAGGCTGGGAGCTGTCTTCGCAAGTATAGCCCAGGTCGCATGGCACATCCCTGGAGGGATTAATCGACGCCAGATACGTTATTTACCCCTAACCAAGTCAATTTGTTGACATTGAAACCTGAGATCACTAAACCTTGGAAGCATGGTCAACTGTCGCGCAGATTCCAAATGTGGGATTTCCTCTAAGACAATCTTCTCGATGCTGATAATTATAATTTTCGGGTTTGTTTTAACAACTGTTGCCATGAAATGCGCCACTCCCGCCGGTGTCTCAAATACGTGAATAAATACCCTAGGTTTCCTTGATTTTGATAGTGATGTGAAAAAAATGAGGATAGTAGCGTTCACTCTACAGCTGGCAAATCTACGCGTTGTCGATGCCGTATTTCACTGAGGCTTGCCGAGAAGATAACGGACCGTTTTATAATAGTTATTTCGTCTATCAAGATTTTATCTTTCTTAATTACTTTCCAGAATTATCTGAAGGTTGTCTGTATAGGCGCTTAGAAAGAATAGTCTCAATCGTTTCTCTACTTTTCTGAGGATAGTAAAGAAGCCGAAATGGAAGTCTGTAAATATCACAACATTGTAGAACCTTCGACAAACTGTTGCTCAAGTCGATAATGCCAGGTTTAAGAGAAAGCTAATACGTGACTGCTACGAAAAAGCATTCAGAGCACAATCATTTGAGATCGTCTTTGCTGACCCTAGACGTAGCCGAGTTTTTGAAAAAAAGTAACACGTTCAAGAGTTTTCCTGTAATATAAAGAGACCTGCTTGATGTGGCAGTTGATTCTCACTGTTATATAGGATGAAAGCGATTAAGAGAGAGAGGAAAAAACGTGAAAAGTGTAGTGAGAGAGAAGATGAGGCCTGCAAGTGCAGGAATGCAAAAGAAAGAACTCCCGAGGCTTTTACGTGAAGTGGCATCATAGGCAACTGATCATTATGGCTGTTCAGAAAAAAACATGAAAGCTCACTCTGCTACTTGTTCGACGGATACTTTGGTGACTTCTTCAAGCTTCCTTTTCAAATCATCATTGGACTCGCAAAGCCGGCTGTACGAATCGCGCATGCCCGCCATTTCAGCTTCACTTTGGCTATTATGTGTTGTTTCTTGACTTTTCAGCTTCTCGCAAAGTTCGTCTATTTGTTTTTGCAATGCCTCCTGGAACAAATGACTCAGAATGAGCATGAAGTAATGGATTAAATGACAAGAACCTCCGCTTGAGTGCGTTCCAGGGTATAAGTCTCATCAAGCTGATCCAGTTGTTTTTCCAGCGTATCATTTTTGAGGCGTAAACTATCCGCTTCCTCACGAGCCAATTCGAATCTGAATGACAGTAAAGAGACAGATGTGAATCACGCCTCTACAATAAAAAAAGGAAAAGGGAGCTGGTACAACGGCTGAAAGGTGGAGTTTTTTAATGACGTCATTGAGCATGGAAGATCGTCATTGGCCGTGAGAATGTTGGAAGGTGCCAAACCGTTTCCCCCGACCGTGAGAATGTTGGAAGGTGCCATGATCGAAGCAAGGGAGATGTGGAAAGTAGACACATGCGATTAAAGCTAACAGCTATGAGCCTAGGCCGAACGACTGGAATCAAAGTCGTGCGCTGTCGCAAAAATGCATGGCGCATTCCGAAGCAGAAGTATTTGAGAAATAAAGCGGTCCATATTTGATTATCAGAGGCACAAATATTCCGGAGAACTGGTGTTTTTGGAAAATACCTATGTGAAGGAAATGGTGACCACTTAGGCGAATTAGCTCCTGATGGCTCAGAAAATTTTGGAAAAGACGTGTGTGACTTTTCAGTACGAACAGTACCTATTATGAAGCACAAAACCATAATAGCAGTTTGCCAAGTTTTTTCACAGCATTAAATTTTAAATATGCATTTGTAAGCAAAGGAATGATGAACACTCGTATTTTAGGGAGAATAGCTTGGAGTGGAAAATTCAAATTTTTGTGACTCGCTCCTCCTTGGTCCAAACAAAAAGTTTTACGCTTGCTTCGAAAGCAGTCGCCAGAGATCTGAGAAGAGCAACCTCAACAGGACTAAGATCGAAACATTTGGCGTAGATGGGTTCCATCATTGCGACTCAGTTTTCGAAAATCTTAGAAAAGGCACGGTCCCACGCAATAGACACACGAAAATCGCACTGGTAACGGGATCCTCGATCCCTTAACCTCATGAATTCTGAGCTCCTGATTTGCAATCAGAAGGTTTCAAGGTGGGTTATACTTCAGAGCGTCGTTCATTTCAGGTTTTCTACTATGTTCGATTGCAAATCACAGCCCTTTTCGAGCTCTATTCAGCTGCACCCATGTCTGTGAAACAGAATGGCTGTGACACTCGTTGATATTTTACAACTATGAGAACATTAAATACCTACAGTCGATATCTCGAAGTCTGATTGGGCACCGGGAATGACGAGGCAGCCACTGCACTTGATAGATGTTGTGTGGATGAAATACTCCAGATATCAGCAAAGCGTGTTGGAAGCAGCTTATCCGCGCAACTTCTATCAAGTGCGGTGGCTGCCACGTCATTCCGGTGACACGCCCAATCAGACTTCGAGATATCGACTGTAATTAACCTACTTTGCTGTCATTGCCTCCAGTTCTATCAACTGTTGCTTTCGTGTTGACGATACGATTTCATCATGCTCTTGCATCAACTCAGCAATTTCAGCTCGATGTTTTTCAGCCGCCGTAGTAAGAGAATCCTTGAGCTCGGCTACCTTTAAAAGATACACTCAGAACTGAATAAGCACTTTGGCAGAAGTCAAAGGAATGATTCAACAAAATTCGTATTAAATTTGCATAAATATTTCTTTCCAACTATGTACGGAGCATCAACGCAGTGAGAACATCCTTTCAGAAGCTCATTGTTATACGCTTTAGATCAGAGCGCCAAAGGAACTCAAGGAGAGAACCACCATTCAGAAATGAACAAAAAACATGTTCAATTTGTGTGTCCGCAAGACCATATGTTACTGTACCAATAGAATCTTAAAAACGTACCTCCTTCTGCTTTGTTTCGTCCAAGGCCACAAGTTCGCTACGCAGCCTCTCGAGCTCATTGGACAAGCTTGTCTCATGAACGTGAGCTTCTCTGAGGGAACCTTCGACACCACGAATGCTCTCCATTTCGGCTTTCTATAACAGATTCATTGTTTCCATCACAAGAAGATGCACACTAGGGAAAAACCTATCAAGTTTACTAACACACCAATACATGAATAGAAGTAAGGCTTATTTGAATCGGAGAATCCACAAGGGAAGACTAGATAAGAATTGATTGGTCTGTTCGGAAAAGAAATAAAGGAGAAACTTGAAGAGTCGAGGGATCACGAATAGTTTTAGGTACTTCTCGCTTCATTGCCTCTAACTGAGCGTAAGACGGTAATACTGTCAGGAAATGACTTCAAGTCGTAAATTTAGTAGGTGTTTCAGCAAATTCAACTCTTCAGTTTCAGCGATGAGAATGAAGGAGACCAAGGAGGAGTTTACATTGGTGTGAGCATGAGGTTCAGCTAGAACCAGGATATGAAGTTCTAGACTCCTGGGCCTACCCTATGGAATTATTTAGACCTTGCAACAGATACAGGTGATAACTTTCAACAGTACAGGTGATAACTTTATTCTTACTGAGTTACAGAACGGTGTGTATGTAAAGGATCAGTCGCATGAAAACCAAGAACTACAAATTTGCTGTCGTCAACGGGGTAAAAAACAAAGCTATTTTGATGCTATTTGAAATGACAAGCAAAAGCTGGTTAACGTTTTCATCGCTAGTGATGACTTATGTATTTGACTAATTAATTTTGTCAGTAGTGCATGCGAAGTAAAGCTGGCCAAATCAACATGAAGTACTACTGGCTTACATTCTGTCAAGAAATCGCGTTGGACATCTTTCATAGTAATTACAACTGAAAGAAAAACAAGTTACATGGTAGCTCTTAATATCAAAATCGTCAGTTTCTACATTTATAGGAAGTTGGCTTAAAAAATATGTCTATGACTTTGGCTTCGTCAGAACTTACACGTTGACTTGACATGACTGCGTAGAATGATCGAAGAAAAATTTGCAAATAACCTCTCATTTGCACGTTTACTCATGTTAACACTGTGATGAAATCGAACTTCTCGCTTCGTATTAGATAAGATTTCAACACTCCCACTCTAAGGCCGCGTTCATAGTTCGCGACTCGGGAGATTAGGATAGTAGGCGACAGGATATTAGGATAGTAGTAGAGTAGGAGATTGCGCTGACAAGATTGGATACGTATCGATTGAAATCGCTGGAGAGTAGTAGATTGGGCGACTTCAAGCGAATAGATCAATACATATCTAATCTTGTCAGCGCACTATCCTAATCTACTACAGTGCGTACCAAAAGTATGTGGACACCCTAGAATCGATTCTCAGGAGTCAGCTAAAGGCTTTTTGTGTTATGAAACCTTCACCATTCAACTCCTAGTGGTCGATAACCTACAATGACATTCTCGGCAAAAGATTTCGTTCTAACTTAGCGAACTATTTTTCATGGAAAGTTTTTTCTTTGTATCAAAATTATGTGGACACCCTGAGGCAGATGAAGTTTTTGCATCGATTTCCTAACCTATTTTTACTTCTCCTTTCGTTACTTATTCTGGCATCATTCCTCTTCACGGCAAGCGTTTTTCTGAAGAAGACCGAGCACAGAAATGGGATCCCCATGCTTCTGAACCTTCCTATTGCGAAATAGCACGTCAACCAGTCATGCGTCCTCGTAGGTTTGGAGAGAAATCCGAAATCCTGATGCTAAGCTCTCGACCTTGACTGAGGGTTGTTCTCAATCGCTACTTGTTCAAAACAGGAGAAGAATAGCCTTAATTTTCTCAAATTATTCTTTTCGTACTACTCAACTTTACGCATAAATGATCTTCCCGATCTTAAAAAAGACCAATCGGTGTCTCATTCAATCAATTGAGCACACGACACGAAAGAAGATGAAGAAGGCTTTGTATATGAATGCGGGTTCAGGTTGGCAAGGTTGGAATTCCCACTCAAAAAAGGATCACAACATGATACTTTGAACCCACACAGACAGTGCTTTCGTGGAAATGGTAAAATTAGTATAAAAGACTTTCTGTGGAAATTTCTTTCATAGACCAACTCGACTGGCAGAAAGAAGCTTATTCCTTACTATTCGGGTGGGTCTTGAGGTTTTTGGAGAGACTTTGGTCGGACCCGCAGATGTGCTCGAAGAGACAATTCGGAAGATGTTCATCAAAGGTCTGGGGTGGTTCCAAAAGGAGGGGGACATTGAAGTTTGGCTTGCCAACATGTCAGGTAGACGACTAGGATTATAATGAGGTGCTTGAGTCCCGGCTACAACCTTTTTCGAAAAGTCATGGTCGCAAATCACTTGTTTTGCAGGGGAGGTCCCTGACACCATTCCATTGGAAAAATGCTAAACGCAACGGCTTTGATTGGCAAGTCGGCTAGCGTATTCCTCAGACTTCATCCTTATTGAAAACGTAGAGGTATCGTGGTTCGCGGTCTCTACGTCATTGAACAAAAGAGTAATATCACAAGTGTGGCCGTGAATTTGCTAGTTGGGAACAATGTAAGACATGTATCCAGACCCCATTCATAGCATGCCAAACAGAATGGCTCAACTTACTAGAAACTTTGGTAGGCCTACCGATTTCAGATTTTGAAGATATTGCCGTTTTTCAAAAAGTGTCCACATAATTTTGATGAAGAAAAAACTTTCCATGAAAAATAGTTCGCTAAGTTAGAACGAAATCTTTTGCCGAAAATATCATTGTAGGTTTATCGACCACTAGGAGTTGAATGGTGGAGGTTTCATGACATAAAAAGCCTTTAGCTGACCCCTGAGAATCGATTCCAGGGTGTCCACATACTTTTGGTACGCTATCCTAATCTCCTACTCTACTACTATCCTACTATCGTAATATCGCAATCTACTACTCTCCAGCGATTTCAATCGATACGTATCTAATCTTGTCAGCGCAATCTCCTACTCTACTACTATCCTAATCTCCCGTCAATACATATGTTTTTCATTGTCGCGTACTATCCTAATCTCCGAGTCGCGAACTATGAACGCGGCCTAATCGTAAGGGCCATATGCCATTCTCACCGAAGGAGTTGGGTAAAGGAAATTCTTTTGAATTTTCTCGGTCTTCCCAACTGGGATTACCTTGAATAAAAGGCCTACATCAATGTATGAATGTAGGTTAAAGTAAACATGCATTGAAAATGAAGAAACTACATTATTTACGCAAACGAGCTCCTAATCAGGTTTTGCTTAGACTCAGCATGCTCGCAATAGATCAGTTGTTATAAAGTCAACTAGGAAAGGAACATCAGAAAAAAAAAGAAGATTTTTCGCAAAACTGACAAAAATTCATGAAGCAAACAATCCTTAAGAAGTACCGAACAAAGTAGAAAGTTGATGTATCTTACCAACTGTAGAATTTCTTCCTCTTTCGAAGACTCGAACTGCCTGAATCTTGTTTCAAACTCTTGCTGCAGTCTCTGTTCTTTTTCTGAGAATTCAGCTACAAGCTCTTCCCGTTTTTTCTCTTCTTCGTCTCGGACAGCCTCAAAACGAGGACCATTATTTCAGAGAAACAGAATTTGATAGACCACCTTATGAAAGGTTATTAACACTTTGACGACAGCGCGGGACACATACGTCCCGCACTTTCACACGGAAGAGGCTTGTTTTTCCTAATTTGTGCCTCCATTTTCATGCTTCAAGACTGGCCCTTCCTACTGTTGGATACGAAAAATAGTTCTCTCGTTACCACTAATGAAATTATTGGTAATGTAGTAACTGTTGATGCAAATTTGTAAAGTAAGGTGGGTAGGTGCGCGCACAAGGGCGTGTCGTCAACGTGTTAAATATGCAAGGCTGCTGTCAGAGGCTGCGAGCCATTGCACGACCGATCACAGGAATCACGAGTGCCCCGATCAATGCTGCGAAGTGTTCTTTATTTCCGCCGCCCTTTCTGCTTGATGGTGATTGCTGGATGACGATTGTTCATGACCCGACTTATTTCATATTCTCAAATGGCGCACTACCGATTTTGCGATTCACGCGATTCGCGCGACGGATTGCGGACTCTGACACCAACCTAACACCATACGTGCTCATAGCGTCGGTGACGATATCGGAACTTGAATTCACAGATGCCAAATAATCAAACTAATATTTTATTGAATGTATCCATTCTTCGGTAAGCCCTTAATTTATCATTTTTGATTCTATTCATTATTATTCCCCATTATTTTCCTTCGCATGAGCACTTTCTTGAGAACTGCAAGTGGTGAATTTGGAACGTTATAATTGAGTTTTGAATTGAAGCAAAATATGCAATTCCCCAGGTCGTGAATAATAAGTTAATCAAGCCGAAGAAGAAATAACGAAAACCAATTCACTAACTTTGACTCCTTGCAATTTTGCTGCCGACAGCTTCTCGATCATGTCGCCCTTCTCTGCTTCCAGTGCCTGAAAATAGTGAAATAACCAGGGAATAGTGAAATAATTGAGTTTGTGAACCAAGAGAGATTTTTCGGCCCAGAGTATGGTTACTAATAAATTGAATTTTTTGTGAAAGGGCGAGGTTTCATAGTAGTGCAGAGGTTAGACCACTAATCCATTCAAACAGTCATTTTCTTGAATAATTTAGCTACACGATGGTCTCTTTTACACACCTATCTAGCCCCTCTATGTATTCTATTAAAAGATTGGCAGCGATGTCTCCCACATTTCTGCTGATACATAGACTTTGCGCCGACCGCGACCTGGTGTATCAATGGAAGAGCAAGAACTGAGTTCATGCCTTAAAGTCGGTATTCGCCAATTTGGAACGATCTTTTTGCTTTTTTGTTTTCCACTGCTTTTTTAGAAAAAAAAACTGAGAAGTTGCGAAACTCATTTTCTGCACTCATTTTTCATTCATATACCTCCGCAAAGATCATCTGATCCGCTTGTAGCAGCCCAGGCCTACACCGTAATTATTGCAGGTGCGGAATCACGTGCAAGCTTCTGGGCAAGTTTATCATGGACCGTTCGCCCTTATGCACCTCCAACGCATTTCGCACGTTAGTTAGCTCCCGAACCGCAACTTGTAAGAGTTCTACGGGCGGGGATTCAAAGTTCCCGTAGCTCCCTGGTTGCCAGATTTATTATCAAAAGCAACGTTTATTTTTCGTTTTTTTTTGCTACCATTGGTGAAGCAAGGGGCAAGGGTATCAATTTCTGATGTGAGAGTGAAGTCTAGGTTTCCGTGAACGATTCTTTGATCAGAAACTTGTCCTTCCCCTTCAACCACACCGTAGATCTACAAATTACAGTGCTTTCCTAAATCGACAAAAAAAAAACTAGTCTCGCCTTTCTACAACATACTGCAACCGATGGTTCCGGCAAACTCAGCTGATGCTAGGCCGATGTCAGACTTTGCGAATCGCGCGATTCGCTAGCGTCTGCGGTCGCGTCGCGGCCAGTGAATCACTCAATTGGCTGGTACCGCAACGCGACCGCGGACGCTAGCGAATCGCGCGAATCGCTAGTAGCGAATCGCGCGATTCGCAAAGTCTGACATCGGCCTAAATTGTGGCCTTCACAGCCTTTACTTCAGTTGTGACAGCAAGACAACGTGGAGATGCATATGGACAAAAATAATAATCTTACATAATAGAAAGCATTATCACAATCATGATATGATGTTAAAGTGACTTCTAAACACTCAGCTGGACTTTTAGTCCTGTTAGCGGTTGGTTTAAATCTTCCCTCCTACCGCCACTGGCCTCCAGCTGCCACAGCAGCGTCATGTGGAATGGCTAGAGTGAGCTCAATAGGTGTATCTAAGTGGCTCATGCTATTGCAAAACATTGATAGTGCAAGTCTTGCAAAATACCCAGATTTGCTAGCGGCTTGTTTGCTCAATGAGCTTCTATTAGCTCCACCTTGCGGAACGACGGACAGACAGACTACATAGAAACCGACACACCAAGTTAGCGACTTATACATATAACAGAAAGTTAAAGTAGACGGCACAACACAATACACCTGAATTACTTGTTGTAGTTCATCGACTTTCTTTTGCCAGCGTTCGTTCGCTTGCCCGTCTTGTACCTCTAGGGTGCGACATTTTGACCTCCAAGATTCAATCTGAAGCAACGTAGTTGAAGTTTTGGTTTCAGTATGAAAGCATCGCTTCAACACACCTCCTTGTCTTTCGTTTCCAACGCAGCATGCATGTCAGCCTTCGTTGTTGCCAGCTGTATCGCATGATCGGCATCATTCTGCAAAGAAGTTTCCTCAATATCGTTAAGCTTTAGCTGAATTTTGAGCAAAGTACCAACTTTGTTCATCCGCTCCGTCCATTCCTCCTCCACCTTATCGATTCTCTGTTTCCATTCATTTGCCACACGATCCGCCACCAAAGTTGATATATCAGACTGAAAAAAATGGGAAGTTGAGGTCTTTGATGAAATCAAACGTAGTGTTACTCAGATAATTAGGAGACCATCTAGAAAACTGCAACTTTTACATGCGCCGTGAAAGAAATGTATTATCTACGCGGTTATAAAAGAGCGCTTACCTCACTTTCAGCAGCTTTAACGCTGAGTGATAGCTTTCATTTTCTTGAGTCAGTTTCTTTTATCTTAGCACGATTTTTAGTAATCTCCACTTTGCATTTTTCTAGCATTTCCTCCAAGCGATGCTGTTTGTGCTCAGCCTACAACAGCCTTTTTCAATGTTCCGTCCAGAGGTTACCATTACGCCATAACAAAAACAGGGTAACGGTTACAGCTATGGCACACAGGTTTAGTACAGCTATGGTGCTCATAGACATTGACAATTGACCTGACACTAAAAAAAAAATAAGAAAAAACGCTGAATAATTTAAAACCATCTAAACGAAGCCATTTTTTTTTTCGGTGATAGGAGAGTGTGGAAGAAAATTAGCATAACGAGACAGGCGCTGACGCGGAAGAGAGAACAAAGGACATAGAGAGGAGACATCGCGAGGGACGAGAAACAGTCGGTAGTCGGCGGGGTAATCGCTCAGATTCCATGTGCGGGTTTCAAGCCACTCAGAGCCAGCCTGCGATATGAGTCGCGAATGTGGCCGATTACAGGTGCGGATCCAGCAACCATATTCACGGGAAGGACTGGCCGGTGAACTTGGAGAACAATGGATGTTCCAGAGCATAACGTTATAAATGGTTCTAGTACCAGTATCAGGCCCCTTGTAATTTTTGCAAGGCATGGTTGAACCTCGACAGGGATCGACTCCGGTCCCAGCTGACGATCAGACATGAGTCACACTCTTAACCACTTGGCTATCCCTGCAACCTTATAAATAATCACTAACCGGAGAAGAGGTGGACCGACTTTCTTCCAGTTCCCGCAACTTTTCTCCAAGAGCTTTCTTTTCGCGTTTCAGTTTTGCGATCCGATCGAGGGCCTTGTCCTGCGTTTGTGCTAGGACTGTCTACAAAGAAGATCACTTGAGTAAATAAAACGAAGCATTGAAGGATACATTTATCAGGACCATACCCTGCATTTATTGTTTTCCGTCACAACATCGTTGTATTTTTTCACCAGATCTCTATATTTATCTTTTATACGTTGACGCACGACCTTGAAGTCTTGAAAGAACACTGGATATCTGCAAACATGGTTAACTTTGCTTCAAGAGAGCAGAATACACGAGAAAAATCATGAACATACTTGGTCCTTTGAAGCAGAACGAATAACGCCAGAGCCATACTCGTCAACAGTCTCACTATCAGAATCCCCAGCATCCAAAGTTGTACAGCAAGCCAGGAACATATGAAGATAAGGTGGGAAAGCGAACTGAAATTGTTCTTTGTCGTAAAGCATTCGCCTACTGCAGTCAATCAATTACTATCGATTAAACCGATGTTATATAATAGAAGCTAACAGAAGCATAATTATAAAAAATGCAGAGAGAAGCAAAACTTCTGTCGCATAATGCGGCGACGAACAAAGAACACTGTAAGACCGAGCAAAACCAATTCGTTACAACTACGCATTCCCCTCTCCGAATTCCTGGCACTCTATTGAGTTGTACCAAAGATTTTATGACAGCAAACCGTTACACAAGTTGTCCGCACTCTACACCATGCGATCATACTGTGACGGTCTACTTTCTGAGCTAATCCTTCACCTTTCTGGCATCTAACCCCACTTCTGTTCTTGACGGTGGGCTGGTTGCATAAGACTGACGAGAATGAAAAGCGCCCAGGCACGCCATTGCATGATTAAATCAGATGATATCATGTTGAAAATAATATTAATATGAAGAAGAGCGAAAGAGTTGCGGTGCGCGATGGGAGGACATGACGGTGGTGAAAACGGGAGAGATTGTTAGCATTGAAATGAGCCTAGATTAAATAAGCGGTCAAACCACAAAAAAAAAACTGAAAAATGGAGAGAGCTAAAAATATCTTCAGATGATAGGGTCCATCCAAAATGATGAACTCAGCAGTGCAAGGAGAGGAGGGGGTCTAAAACAGGACTAAGCAGCTGGTTAGCTGAAGTTCGCATCTAAAAACACCTTATCCTTATTAAGTGATGTAGTGAGATCTGAACCTAACTTTTGAGGAAGGTTAACGCGAACTGCTACGTACAATAGCTGCGACTTGACTAGGCGAAAAATAGATGAAGAAGGAGTTTCGCGGTTAGGTAGCAGTGGCATAGCCTAATTGGTTCTCTCTGCATGAGCGGCACTATCCTACTGTCTGTTTTGAATTACAAGCCCTGCGCCAGCTTGTTGCGTACGAGAAGTTTGCCTCGTCTATATACACAAACAAATATCAATAGTTCGATAAAAAAGATTGGAAACAAAATTTTCGTTCGAAGCACCCCTTCTACCTACAAATTCATGCCTGAAGAGGAGGAGGATAAAGAAGTAGTATTTGACTTTTACCAATCCCCTTCCAGGATGACCCATTTGAGTCGGACCCAGGCTCGAAGCGCCATTTTTTCAACTTTCAGCCTTGATTGGAACTTACAGAAACCACCACAGCGACCATTTCGTTCCCAGCGTTTCTGGAAACTTAGAGTGGAGCTGTTCGATTTTGATTAAAGCGGGAATTTTATTTGCTGTGTTCTTTTGAAAGAAAATGGAGCGCGTCAACTGTTTATGTTATCTAATGATTCTTCGGTATTCTCGTTTCTGCAACACTTGGCACTATATGCATGAATTAGAACGAGAACAATCTTGCTCATATGAAGTAGAATGAGTGTCATAACCCAAAAAAAGATCAACGCCAACCGCTCAATCCTTCCGAAATATAATTGTAATAAGCAGCAGGACCACAAAAGGAGATCGGAGAAGGGTTCACCTCTAAGGTAGGTGTTAGACTCGAAAATTGCACAACAATTGCGCTGTCGCGAGAATTACCTGATACAACCCATGGGTAACAGCGAGTATTGCCGTTTGCGTGGTGAAATGTATAAGACACAAGCACGTCAAAGCTAATGAACGAATCACACACCGCCACATATCAATAGCATGCATGCATTTGCTAATTAATAAAATAAAATAGAAAAGCAAAGAACTTGAAATATAATCGTGGTTTGATAAGTGAAATGGTAAGCAGCCAATGAGCAAGGGGTATACCTCTCAGTGCTATGAGTGTAGAGCCTCCTGACAGTCGTCTTTGACGTGATGAAGAATCCAAACCAAGCAAATCACCTCGGTCACTTCTTCTACAAAAAAAAAAAAAAAGATACATAGAGTAAAAATAATAAGGAGAAAAAGATATTAACAAAGAATCAGAAAGACATAAACGACGATGGATATATACGAAATGCTGGCACAAGTTGGAAAAAAACAAAAAAGGGTTGAGGAGATCAAAACAGTACGATGGAACACCCGAACGGAATTACCAACAAACCGGCGGAGGGATGCACATAGATACACCCTTCCCAACGTGCCAGCAGTAAAAAAAAAAAATACGTTCAAAAAAAAAACCTGAAAAAGAAAATTTATAATGAAAAATTATACAGCCAACAAGACACTAGAAAACACTAAAAACAGCAAACTTAATCAATACACGTGAAAAGAGAAAATAAAAATTAAAGCACTCAAACTTAAGATGATCTAGATTGTAATTAACACAATACTGACATGCATAATGAATGCTTAGACATTTTCTTCGCCCCATCACTCAAGCATTCAAATTTCAGCCCTTGAAACATCTGACTAAAAACAAGTAATACAGTGGCATATAATTATGATATCTGAAGGAAACAAGCATTCCAGAAGAAAACACGAACCGAATTACGGAAGAAGACGGGTAGAGAAGTATCAACGTGAAAATTTAAATAAAAGACTTAAAAAACTTTATATCGTAGAATTTGCACATAACAAAATAAAACAACTAGTTAAAACGACAGCAAACAAACAGAAATGGATCAAAGTAGTTTAAGCACATGTAAAGCAAAAGGAGATCAATCTGCACAATTTTTCAGCTTCTTCTGCACAGGTTCTCTGACTGTAATCCATTTTTTCTGCGATATGTTACAAATCTATCGGTGGATTTAGGCTAAAGAATCGCACAAATAGATTCAAGCTAAAGGTACGCCAGGGAATCTTTGAAAGGGAATTTCATTATCAAAGCATGCTGTTGATCTTTCTGAAAGAAAGTCGAATACTTTAATGAATATTAAGCAGCAATACCAATATGATGTGAAAGAACATATCCTAAAGCAAATTATAAGGACGCGCGATACATATAAACCACCAAACAATATTGCAAGAAATGCGACTCTCTACAGCAAAAATACGTACTGCATTAACCTCTCGGCTCGGAATCAAAAATTGTCAACAAACATTACTAAGAACAACGGAAGCTCTTGAAGCAATATTACATTACGACCCCGAGAATACAGCATCCATTGAACTACACTTGAAATTATCGGAATGAGAGAAAATCGAAAGAAATCAAAATATTGCGGTCATCTTTCACAATAAATTACACATACAACAGTCATATCCGTAGCTAAAAAACTAACGACTGAAATGACGTGAGCGAATTCTGATTGCTCAACGCTATCAATCATCTTACAACGACGAACACCTCACCGATAGTCGTTATCTATATTCCAAATCTGAAACAAACAAACGGACAGATAAGGAAGAGGTACGACAGAAAAATCAAATACTGCGCCACCTATAAATATTAAATGACATGAACCTAAATGTCACAATTGAGCGAAATCAATAAATTGACAACAACTAACAAATCCGACAAAGGCTCAACTAGTCAAAGATCATCTTAACAGCACTGTTTTAACTGAGCCAAAGGAAGCTAAACAAACAGCGCTCCAAGCCTGGCGAAAATAATTGAGAATCTCATAAGTAAGATACGCCCTGGACGCAAGAACAATATCGAGCAGAGATTATACTAGATATGAATATTTCAGATCCGTTGCTTTATCAGCTACCAACCCAGACGAAATGTAGATCGCTTTCACTTACAATAAAAGACCAATGTAAGGTAAATGCTTTCGACGACTTTATACCAAAGTTCGTTGAAGAAGATAGAAACCTCACGCCGATCCGCAGGCGAATAAATCCTAAACCATTAATGAATGAATGCCCCACTTATGGGGCCTTAGATCTAAGGATCGAGTGCTCGCACCTGAAGATTAGATACAATTACTATTCACTGATAAACACAAAAAAGCCTCCCATTGAGCAATCAACCAACTATCAAGGCGCTACAGCGGCGCAGCAACACAAGCACAACAACCAACAAAAGGGACAGTCGCGACCCGCTTACCAGCAAACCTAACTTCAGGGAGATAGAAATCACCATCAACACCAAGGAGGGAATGTTAATCCCCGGTTTCGTCATCCTATGACGCCACATGTGAAACGGTCAACTGGACGCGACACTCGTTGCGATCCCATGACCACAGGAAAGAAGGATATATCCACCACCTAAGTCGAAGAAATAGAAGAGATATAAGAATAAATTAAGAGGAATAGGCGACGCCGACGACGGAAGACTATCGATAGAGCAGATAGACCGTGCTTCACAATCGGTTCAAGAATCTCAAATAGGACCAATTCGAAAATGATTGCAGATACATTCCAACATTGGGAAATACTAATCCCTCCGTCTGAGAATGAGGGGTGAGGTCTACATCCACCTCGTTGTGACCATGTAGACGTTGCGAATCGCGCAGATATCGCTAGCGCTCCGCGAAAAAAAGAAAAGAAGGAAATAAAAAAGAAATCCGTTCCGACAAGTCCACGCGCAACGACGAGACCGTAATGCCGAGAAGTGAACGATAAGCACGGGAGAAACAGACGTCTCGGCGGCGTGATGCGGAAAGTGATATGCCGTTGCGCCGGGGGAGCCGTGACATCTGTCCAAGTCGCTTCAGATCATCCAGACATGTAAACGGTTTTGACCTGGTCAGGGTCGGTCGCGGCAGGGGAATCCTCAGTGGCGGTACGCAACAGACGCGGACGCTATAGCGAAATCGCGCGAGTCGAAGTCTGAGGATCGGCTTCGGTTGCTGCACCAGCCCCAGAGAATTTTTGACTATCGATCCCGAAAGTAAAAATTATAGAGCTTTCAGTACTTGGTAGTCATCAAGATGGAGTCCTTAGAGAGGAGTAAGCAAGATCAGGCTCAAATGCCTGTGTAGCGAACAAGTCTCGAGTTTTTGGCTAAAGCTACACCACGTTAGTGTGGTCAATTGTTTTATCGCGTTCACACTGCTATTAGAGCAAAGCCAGTAAAAGTCTACAAGCGCTATTCACAAACTAACGGCTCCTTAAACCCATTCCTGTCCCAATTAACCAGTTCTATTTCTCTCCGGGGGGGGGGGTAGACGATTTCAGAAAGTCAAGAGTTGCAAAAATGAGTCCTTGCGTGGAACAGTTCAACAGTTCGATGCTACAATCGTACAAACATCACGGTATTGCCAATCCGCTAAAAAGATGGGAAGCAGGTTACACAAAATAAAGCAAAATACTTTGTTGGAATAATACCAGGCGTTGTCGCAAGACACGGGGGCACCGTCTAAATTAGGTGGAGGCATGAACTTAAAGCAAAATCAAAATTGCTCACGCACCCTGGACCTCTCCTGCCCCGCCTCAGGCTCATTCCAATCATTAACAAGAAATGTTTTTTCACGTGTTTAAAAAGTTTGTTTACGCATTTTATATGCATTGCCACCACAATGGCCCCTGTCTCGCGATAGCGCCTAATTCCATAATTTTCGAAATGTTTTCTTGAGCGGAACTGACCGAAACCGCCCAACACCAACATAAAAGCTAGTGAAGTGGCGCAAGATTAAGATCACTGGCAATTCAATCAGAGTGAATAAGTATAAACGTGTTATGAACTTTTACCGCTATATTCGCACGTTTATTCCACTCCTTTACCAGAATGTACACGTTTAAACTAAATACCCAACGTCTTGCGATAGCGAGGTTGTTTATTTGGACAATACTCTGAAGCAAAATCTTATATAATTCCTACCGTGTACTTTGTCTTCGTAGGCAAAAGCATTGGTCCCTGTCTCGGAAGTTTAGGTATCATGATCTCTGGTTTCTGAGCGTCATGATCAATTCGAATCTTGGATGCTTTGTCGATAAGTTCATAGATTTCGATCAGCTTCGCCATAGCCTCTTCCGTATCGATGTTGACGAGAGCGCTGATGTTAGAGGAAACCATGGAGCCACACTAGAATAACTGCATTTGAAATATGAAAAACCTCATGGCGCTCATGTCCTTAGGGGACATTGAAGTGAGTGGGCCACTGATAAAACTCAGGACTAAGCTTTAGGGAGGGGAAAGGAATTGTGAGCAACCATTGTTCTCCCTTGTATTTATTCCCAGTCCTGGGCTTAGTCCTAGTGTCACCTACCAGCGGTTTTTGAATGCCCTGTTCGTAATGTCCCCCCGGCTCCCAGACAATACCTAACCATTTGGGCGCGGCCGCGGCGAACGCGGCCGAGTCGATTGTGCCCGCGAACCGTTGAAAACGCACTCGAGGTGCCCGCGAACTGTGCTGTGCTGAGTTCGCGGGCACCTATCAACTCGGCCGCGTTCGCCGCGGCCGCGCCCAAATGGTTAGGTATTGTCTGGGTGCCTCCCCCCTAAGGACATGAGCGCCAATCTCATTTTTAATGACTCACCAGCTGAATATTGTTTCTTAGCGACATTCTTTTCTCCAAACGTTCTTGAGAACCCGAAAAATGATCTGAAATTATGGTAAGCAGCAGTAGAACATGCATGTATAGCGCAATGTGAGTTCAAATTACCTTCCAGCAGGGACTGCGAATGCACTTTTCTTCGCCTCTTTACACGAGGGACCGCGGGTCCAACGCCATGTCCCGCGTGTCCGAAACACCCTTTCACACTTACAGTCCCATCATCGTTCACAACATAATTTGTGAAGCATGGACAGTGAGAAACATCTTTTTGCTGGATTTCGACCGCACTGTGCTCCGGCTTATAAACTGTCCAGCTCGGTTGCATCTAAAAATCCATTTCCAAGTTTTTGAACATGGAACCACTCAAGGTTTTACCTCATGTAGTACCATCTTCCCTTAGCAGGAACGATGGTAAAGCTTGCTTGCAGTTCTTCGACATTGTTCTTGCAACCATTTCTGAAGAAAGTGGCCTATAAATATATTCACGCTAAGACTAAGTTTATGGTATCGAACCTTAAACTCATCCTTTGTAGGAAATCGCCTAGAATAAATGGTATAGTCTTGCACTGTCCCATTGGCTCCATCACGACTGTGCTCCTTATCGCAGTGATTTGCAAGCTTCTCGTGATCAAAGAATTTGCCTCCACAGATAGGACAAGAAATTTTCAATGTCCCGGGCTGAGCCTCCTGACGTTCTTTTTTCATGCGATCAATTTGATCGTGAGTATACTGATGGATGTTCTATCATGTGCCTGTAGAGCCCTTTTCGAGTGACCCATCTCTTGCAGGTACCGCAACATACCTTATCGTCTTTCTTTGGAGATGGCATTGCCTGCAACAGGAAAGTATATTGACAGCAAGAATCATCATTTTATTGAGTTTTCGCCACCATTTTTTAACATATTGTACACCGCGTGCTGCAGGTGGTGAAGTACGTTTTTTTTTGAGAAGATGACCTACATTTTTTCATACTCGAACCGTATGAGAATATAGTACCGAATAAGGAGAACAACCTAGGGACGTGTGATAGCGCCATATGAAGAAAAGGCTAAAATACTGATTCTTGTTGAGAAGGATATCAGTCGCAGCCTTATTTTTTTCTCATTTTGTAGAAGGAAAAAAACACCACCACTGTGATGAATACGTAGCATTAGAACAAAAGAAATGGCTTCATTCAAGCCACTTTTTGTAATTTTTTCTCTCTCATACCACCTTAACAACTTAATGATAACTAATTCGGGTCTCACCCAGTACGGGGGGGGGCATGTGGTGTGACAGTTCTTGCCGGCTACAGAAATTCCAATTTTTGCAAGGGAGGGAATCCCCGGGGTGCGTGAACCATTTCGCTTAAACTTTTACACCCACCCCGGAGCTTCCCTCCCTGAAAAAAGTGGATTACTTCATGCAATATGAACTGTCGCACCACATGCCCACCCCTTACTGGATGAGACCCACTAATTCTTCTTATCGAATGTACACGTGTATATATTTTAAATTTGTAAGATAAATGTAAGATGCTCATTAAATGAATGCACATCTCACATGAAACAAAAGGAATACTTTTATTCATCACGCAGCACGCGGCGGCCAGTGTAAGGCGTAGTTCATAACCTCCAAATCTCGAAGTCTGATTGGGCGTGTCACCGGAAATGACGTGGCAGCCACCGCACTTGATAGAAGTTGCGCGGATAAGCTGCTTCCAACACGCTTTGCTGATATCTGGCGGAGTATTTATCCACACATCTATCAAGTGCGGTGGCTGCCACGTCATTTCCGGTGACACGCCCAATCAGAGTTCGAGATATCGACTGTACTTGGCGCCGTATCCGAAGGGCGCGCGAACCGAACGTATCTGCGGATCTGCGAAAGGAACTAAGAGCGTATCCATTCGCAAAATGGGAGGGGGCAGATTCGAAAGTTGGGAGGGGCCGATCTGCAAGTTTGATGGGGGGGGGGGTCGAATCGCGCAATCGAATCTGCAAATCTTTTCAAAAGAGATGTATTCTTCTACCAATCAGGCAAATTGGAGGAGGCCCCTCGTTTCGCGATTGCGATTCGACGCGAACATTCCGCACCAATGATGAAAGGGCGCGGTTGACTACGTCAATACGCATCTAGACCCTTTCGCTTCCGCGTTCGCGATTTTCGTGATCCATACGTATGCAATTCTTTTCGAAAATTCGAATATTCTGCTTATTCGAAAACTATCAACAATGCCTAAACAGGCGCCGACCAGTCAAAAAACGCCGCGGTACAGAATGGGTCAATCTCTCGCAGTCAAAGTTTCATCCTTTCCCTAGCTGGGAGAGTTGGAAAGTGAGCCTAATCTCCTTCATTCTCCAGATAAAAGGATGAATTATGAGTGCAAAGGATTAGCTGGACGGTTCCGGATATGAACTAGGTAAGAATTACGGCATAACGTGCCTCTCGAGGTGGAGGGAGGGGTTTGTAGGAATGCCCCTAGGACCAACCATATGGAGACTCTGGAGAGAATGAAAGCTGCTCACAAAACACCTCCTTCCTTATCTTCTTCGAGACTTATTCCTAAAAGGCGCTTTTCGTACCCAATAAGGGGATGCCCCCCCCGTTCTCTTTACACGAGCACATCGAACTATTACACCTAGCAAGGAAAGTTGTGCGCGTTGACTCGGGGAGGGGCACCTCGCAACATCGCGTCAAAATCACGGAAACGCTCCGTTTTAGGACTAAGCTTTTGAAGAGGAGAGGAACTCCGGTGTACGGAAGCAATTTTTCGTATTCTCCGGAGTTCGTCCCTGCTGTTTAGGCTTAGTCCTAGATGACTTTTCTCAGTGCCCCCCCCGAGCCACATTTTCAGGAAAAGGGCCACTGGGGTGACACAAAGAGAATCACTAAGTCTGTGAGAGCATTTAGAACGACCGTTTTGATGGAGCCTGTTTTTGCCAGCGATGTGCTTGTGATTGCGTACGATGATTGGCTACCGTCACCTAACACCAAAATTTTGTTCGTCAGTAGAGACGTAATAATCAAGCCTTATGTGGACTCTATGTAACTAGCTCATATTTATTACAAATCTGATTGCCACTTTTACTTGGAGGGAGAATTCTATGTGCTCGAGTTATGTTTTATTTTATGCTCGACAAGGTAATTTTAGAGCGTCGGATTGGTTGGAGCATGTATCAGTATGTGCTACTGAGCTTGATTATTTTAGATGAGCACTGAGAGATTCAAGCAACATGAGTGGAAATGGGAGATACGAGTTGGTGAGGCAGGACTGACTGCAGAATATTCGCCACTGTGAGCTTTTGAAATATCACTCGCCCCCCAGTACATCGAAAACTATGTATTGAAGGTGGCTTTAGGTAACTGTGTATGGTTAATGTATACATAGTGATGAAGTAAAGGTTTTTATCGTAAGTATGAAGCTGTCGATTGTGCACTTTGCGACAGTGATCGCCGGCATTCCCGGAAAGTCCGTGCTTGAAGTGAGTTCTTCCGCAATTGTACATCGCATTTTACACATATCCCACTTGTCCGAGCGATAACGCTCCTTTTTTCCTCGCTCGCCTCGCATTGTAAAAACTCAAAATCTGCTATAAAAGTCGTATAGGCTTGATTTTCAGAGTCCGATCCTTCTGCCGATTTTCGCAGTGCGCTATTTTCGTTTCGCGATTTGCGCGATTTTCGCGATTTGCGCGACGGTTCACGGAAATCACAAGTGCCCATCCATACTGCAAGATGTTCTCCAATCCCGCCGTCACTTCTACTTGATGGTTATGGTTTAATGGAGACTGCTCATGATTCCACTTGTCATATCCAGTGTTCAATTGTTCAAATGGGGCACTTGCAATTTTTGTGATTGGTTTGGTTTGATTCCTGAAAAAAAGGAACGATTCAAGAGCATTTCAATGAACTAATAGACATTGAACATGAAACAAGTAGAACCACAAACATTCGTCTTCCAATCTTTACTGCCAAGCAGAATTCGCAGCAGGATTAACACCTTGGAGCCCACGCAGCCCATATGTGGGCTGCAGCCCTTCGACCGCATAGAACCTTTCAGCTCGCATTGCGGAAACAATTATTAGGTTTTTCATTCATTTTCCTTTCCTTTTTATGCGATAAGATTTCTGATTACAAGTGGGTGTGTTGAATTGCTAGAATGATCCCTAAAATCTCATCGAAGTCCCTCGCGGCCGCGGAACGTAAAACACGCGTGGTCTCCAAAGTGTTAAACAACACCTCGCAGTATTCATCGGGCACTTCCAACTCCTGTGATCCATCGCAGGTTTCGCGAAAATCGCGCAAAGTATCGCGGACTCTGACATCAGCCTTACGTATCAGTCAGGAACTACTAGGCCGCTGTCATGTTCTGCGGCCTTGCGGTGCCGCGATTTTGCTGTCTTATGTTCATGCAATCGCAAAGTCGCATTGCAAAATTGGGTATGGATCACTAGGACAGAACGCGACTTTCTCGCTCTTTGCAGCTCCGAACTTTTTTCGCTGGGAGAGCTACAACTAGTAACCGGATGGGCCTTGTTCTTGCAGCGGAAAAAGCTTTGCCTTGCGAAAAGCGAAAAACTCATGTTCTTATAGCGATCCATAAACCGCATGATCGTAGGTCGATACGTGTTACGTTCCTATTTCGGACTGCAAGGTAGTCAAGAAATACTACCACGGCCTCAGACAAAATCTGCATCTGAGAAATGGATCAGATACGATCCGTTTCTAATCTTACACCCTGCAAGAATCTGTTTTGATCCTGTACAATCTACGACTAGGTTAGTCATGTATCGAGTCGCTTGACTCCGCTTTCACCGTGGAATTTGAGATCCCTTACGTTCTGAATAGGACTCATAGCAGCAATTCCATTCATAGCAGGGCAATGCCTCAAGTCAAGAAAGGTTATGAAGAGCAGGAGCATGTGTACATGAAGTGTACAGTGTGAGTATACTTGAAGCTCTCCGAACTGATGGGCGAAAGCCGTTAGATGTCGGTCAGACTCGGCGATTGCATGCGATGGAGCGATCGCGTCGTTCCGACACTAGTCCATCACGATGCAATCGCCGAGTCTGACCGACATCTTACTGTGCGCTGTCACACTTGTCTATGTGAACATGTTCTCGCTCCTCAATCTTTTGTTTAGCATTTGTGCGCTGTCGTACTGTGCCGGCTGGGCCCGACAAGCTTATATCTCCTTTCTGGTTCTGGTCAAAGCCAGATCGCTTAGTACACTGGCAGCTCCTTTACCTCTTCGTTTCGTACGCATCCCCCTCTATTCGTTAAATGACGAAACTAATGATTCCTCGGCACTATTGAGCTATTACAACCCCAGAGGGGGTGAGATGGATCAAAAAATTTTTTTCGCTGAAACTTGCGCTAGGGGGGTTATCGAGGCTCCTGATCACGAATATGACCTTAGTTTTTGGCGCTGGCGCCAAATTGGCGCCAAGGGTGTTCTCACCAAATTCGCTGTAAACTTGTGGATAGGGGTTATCGAGGCTCCTGATCACGAATATGACCTTAGTTTTGGCTCAATTTCTCTAGGTGACGCTCGAAATAGATGTCATCTAGGCGCTCATCCAGTAAGGGGGGCATCAAGTGGCTGCCCTCACCCCCCACCCCCCTAGACTGCCTACACTCCCCCTGGCACACAGGTTTCTCGAAGTACGGGACCCCGTGAGCCAGGGGGAGTGAAGCCAGTTCAGGGGGTGGGGGGTGAGGGCAGCCACTTGATGCCCCCCCTTACTGGATGAGCGCCTAGATGACATCTATTTCGAGCGTCACCTAGAGAAATTGAGCCAAAACTAAGGTCATATTCGTGATCAGGAGCCTCGATAACCCCTATCCACAAGTTTACAGCGAATTTGGTGAGAACACCCTTGGCGCCAATTGGCGCCAAATGGCCAATTTGGCGCCAGCGCCAAAAACTAAGGTCATATTCGTGATCAGGAGCCTCGATAACCCCCCTAGCGCAAGTTTCAGCGAAAAAATTTTTTTGATCCATCTCACCCCCTCTGGGGTTGTAATAGCTCAATAGTGCCGTGATTTCCTCGTGTATTTTCACCATCCATTTTTGGTGTTAAGAAAAGTGAGACTTGCACGGCACTCAAAAGGTTCAGCGTTACGCAAAGACGGATTCGCAGCCATATGTTTTATCCTGCTGAAAACGATGGGGTAGTGATAGTGTTTTTTGGTGATCTGTCGCTTAACCAGCGCCTCAGTTCAGTGACATGAATGGCGTAATTGCTGATTGGTTGCTGGACGTTGAACGAATCAGTTCGTAAAGGCGAATATGGCGTAATACGATATTAAGCTATATCAATTTCTTTGTCGCGTAGCGTTTGAAGAGTCGTATGACTCTTCTCTCGAGCAATTTTGCAGAATGTGGTAAAAAGTGTTGTTTTTTTGGTGCATGTCACTTTTTTGCTACCTGAGAGATTGCCTGTTCGCTCGGGTTGTGGTGCCGGCTTGCCTGCTATTTTATGTGCGTTACGTGGCGCAACTCATGTCACTCTTCACGACTTCGTGAGTAATATTGCATTGTACTTCAACCTTCTGGTGCTCTTTGAATATTTCGTTATCATTTCAGAACGATTGCGTGAATACCATGTTTCCCAAAGAAAACTTTCGACTAAAATTGGTTGTGGAGGATTCTAAATATGTCCTTGTGGCGTCCGTGGGACGGACATTTCCAGTCAACGCGTAAACCTGCGGTGGTACGTTGGTTACGTGTCTGTGCGATGAAAACATGAGGCGCTCTACAGTCCATAGATCTCGTAAGTCTGATTGGCGTTCGTCCTCGGCAATGGACGTGGAGTATTACTGTGATAGAAGTTGCGCGATAAGGCTGCTTCCAGCATACTTTGCTGAATATTAGCGCGTGTGTGTTAGGAAACAGCTTATGCCCACGACTTCTATCAAGTGCGGTGGCCGTCACGTCATTTCCGGTGACACTCCCAATCAGACTTCGAGATGTGGACACGTGGCTGAGTTTTTTCTTAAAAAGAAACCTCTGCTCCAAGGAAAAAATAGTAACTGTATTTTAATGACGAAGCAGATTGCGAAAATCCTTCTTGGGAACGTTTTCATCTAGCGTATTTCATATTCCCAGTTGGCGCCACGCGCATTGCGCGCACAGCATAGTTCTGCGGCGATATAGGATGTGCAGGCGTGAATTTTCGAATTCGGCCCAATACACGTCGAAATTTGACTTTCAAGCTGAATTCTATCCGATTGCCCCATGCTTCATCCACCGATGGCTTTTGACCTTCCCTCCCCCACCAATTGTCCGTTTTTCCCAGAGCCTCGGACTGCTTCTGGACCGATTTATGAACCTCGTGGTAAACTACACCTATTTCTTTGCATGTTCCACCTATCTTTTTATTCCTCGCCAACCTCTTCCCACTTTTTACCCATCTGTACTTTCCTGAGCCGATTTATTATTTTGGCGGCGAATCTTGCTTTTTTGGTGTATCCTCCGCACACCATTAGAATCTCGCCTCCTTTCCTCGCCCCTTTCTGGTTTCGCAGGATCTTGCAGAATCACAAAGTTTTGTGGGGAACTCCGCCCACCAACAGCAGTTGGGCTCCACTCCTTCACTCATCTCTATCCACCTTTTTCCCGGTCTCCAGGACTTCTTGAATTTGAGTTATGATCTCCCGTCGCAAACTCCGCCACTTTTAATGCCCCCACCGATGGCGGTTGGCCTCCACTCCTCCACCCACCTCTATCCACCTTTTTCCGGCTCACTAAGACTTCTCCGGCCCGAATTATGAGGACTTGTAGAAAACGCTGTACTTCAGAGCGCGCTCCGCCCATTGTGGGCGGACCTCCGCCTATCGTCAGTGGATTTTCCTAGACGGTGAGATCGGGTCATTAACAACGGCAACATCTACTGCACTCAATACCAAAGTATTAGCTTTTTATCTTTCCTGCTGTTCATTTTATTCGTCTAAAACCGTGGACATGTTTGAATAGGATGACCTAATACATTGCTAGAGGCTTCTATTTAGACACAGAAATGATTTTCTTTAAAGCGTGTTAGTCATCAATTCCGAGCTTTCGTTTTTTTTTGCCGTCATTTCTATATGCACAATATAGATAAATTCTTCTGTCTTTACATTATGTCTATTAATTCTTCATATAGGAATGATTTTTATAGTATTATAATCTTTCCTTCTTTTTTTTAATAGTAGTATTTTATATTTTCCGCATGATTTTTTATTTCTTTATACCTTGTGTTTATATTATTTCTCTCATTTGCACCTTCTCTATTTTTTGGTTCTTTTGATTATGTTTTTTTTTGTGATTATATTTTTTGATGGAATTGTCAGCTGAAGTGGCATCGAGAAATATATTAAGTTTGTTTATGTTACGTCTTTTATTCCGAAGAAATCTAAACTACCGTTCCAGTTTTGACCTGATATTGACTTCTGAAACGATTTATAATCCGGAGGACTATGAGGCTCTGCACGATGCTTTCGTACTATGCACTTTCATCAAGCGGTGTGATGTAAGAACAACTTATCTCTCCGAGCATTTCAGTTTTATTTTCTTTTTTCTTTGCACCATATTGGATGTGTTGCTCTTTTCTTTATTCAATTACTCAATCCGTTTGTTTCAGATGGGTTGCTGCAAAAGTTTTCTATTTCGGTGTTGGTGGTGATATTCCAACATTCACAGATTTTGTGGAGAAGAAGGGTGTGTTCAAGATTGAAACAAAGCAATCCATTAGTGCAGATATCCCAAGAGTTATTTTAGAGTTGAGAAGATAGTCTTTCGTTTGTTGTAATACTTGTTGATTTAATTGTTATGCAGTAAAAAATACCCATACAACAACTTTGTTTCTGAGAATGAGATGCCGGTGATGTGCCGCTATGCCTACCTGCTATTTACTGTTGTCTTGTTTTTTGCATTGCAGAAACGTTTCAAGATCTATATTGTAGCGAATTTTGAAGATTTTCGCAATAGTTTGGAAATGTCCTCTCTCACTGCAACCATTTGCTCGTTCTGTTCTTTTTTTCTTCCAATATTCATACTTTAACCTTAGCAGTCATCTATTAGCTGTTGCACGTGCATGATCTTTCCAAAAGCACCTCAAATTCTCATAATCATTAGTTGGCGAGGTGTCTTTTTTGCTCGAGGATTTGCAGCAAATTTCCCATTGGCTCTCTCTTCGTAATGCCACGGATATACAGGGGTGGCCAAAAAAAGAGACACTTCACTCACATTTCAGACAGCATTAATCACACTTTGCTAGAATCAAATCGACTGCCCCAACTCAGTATTAAAGAGCACATTCTAATCTATCTAAAGTTACATGACAGCCTTCTACACCGACGACATCAGAAGATTTTCCCACGGAAACATGGTTCACGGTACGAGCTCAACGAGGTCGTCGAGGTACCATAGACCATTACGACGTCCCTGAAACGCTGGTCAAAAGCGGTCTTGCACAGTCACAGCTAGTGTCTCTAGAAGTTATTCACCAGCTTCAGGCCGGAGCGATTACGGTAAGCCTCGTTGAGCTCGACGGTGACGGCAGATGACGTCATATTCTGAAGACGGTGGGGGCAGTGAAGGAGGGCCTGCTTCTGCTTACGGGGGAACACCTAAGGAATATTCTGCCGTAAAACTTTCATTAACATCGGCTCCCTGTGCGACGAAAAGTTCGATGATGTGCGCCATGGGCAAAGTGTCTCTTTTTTTGGCCACCCCTGTATATCGTTGCCATTTTCTACACTGTCCTCACTAAGTTACAGGAGAAGAAAAACTTGCAAGACTTCCTTAAACCGTATTCACCGCTAGTATATCAAAAGTTGACCAAGATAGGTAGTTGAATATAGAGCCGCTAGCCTACTGATGGTTTGTAAGTCGGATATCACATCAAATCTAATCCAACCCATTTCCCTCCATACGTTCGAAGTCGGAGAGCGACCTGGTACCGGACGTGTCTAGGTGTCCAAAGTGCGTCAAAATCGATTTGTACATTGTTTAGCCCTACAGCTCGAGGTATGAGTTGATTACATGCACGAAATCCACCGCTGTTCTAAGTGAAGGAGCATACGTGACACATCTAACAAAGCCACTGGGCATGCCAAGCAGTCTATCCTAACTCGTTTAGACCAGTTGGGGTTCATCTACCTTTGCGTCCGTCTGTTTTTTTCTTTGTTCAATTCTTTCTCAGGCACAGTAGATAGGTGACGGCTTCCTTTATCCTTGAGTATACCACGATTCGCAAGTGGAGCTTAACCAACACCAACATGATGTGCATCGACATCTTGATTAGGGGTCCGGAAGTGAAGAGGACAAGATCTGAGCTTGACACTAGGATTCTTTAAGTTGTGACCTTTTGATCGGAATCTTATGAAATTCTGTGGCCTTGTATGGAAGACTGGAAACGAGTAATGGACCGTTCTTAACTGTCCGACATCACGAGCAGGGTTTTCAGCCACGGTACCATTGCTATCGTACACCGAAAAAAAAAACACGTAAATTGAAACGGTACACATCAGCCCTCAGACTTCACCAGTACTACTGCTAATAGCCGCTTTTCGTCGACGTCGCTGATAAAATTTATGAGCGCGAGCATTTGTAAATAAGTATAGAGGCAGCTGACTGATTAAGTCTGGATGTTTTCCGCCGTATATGGACACAACTTTTCCACTCTAGAGGTGGTGCATGGCCAAGACAGAGATCCTTTTGCTAAAGTAAAGCTTGAGCGGTGTACAACGCTGTCATTATCTCTGGGAAAATGAGCTCACATTGGTGCATCAGAATTGTATGTCCCGTCTCAAATATCGCATTTCCACTACGATTTAACGCAACCATCATGGGCCCGTGCGACAGCATGCGTACAGGGACAAATCTGAGCGCGATCTCGGAAAAAAAGTTGATTGCTTAAACTGCCCGCATTCAGCACGCGCCTCTGGCTTTTCACAAAGTCACAAACAAAGTGACTTGATCTTTTCCTCCGCAGTACAAGTGCAGCAATTACTACCTGACAGCGAAATCACGGGTCTATACTTTAACGCTTGAAAGGCAAGATTCAAGCTTAGAACTGATGAGGTAATTCTACTCAAATGTGATGTAGGGGCGGGAGGTGACCGCCAGTGGAGAAAAAAGGAAGAAAAAATTCCTGAAATACACAGGAAATACGAGCCTTTTGCTCTACGTTGCGGAAAGTTCAAAAGGCCGGCAGGTGATGATAGATAATGTGAATGCGGAGAGCGGTAGAGAAATCCGAGAAGAGAGAGCATAACAGATCAGCATTGCGACGCAAAACAAGATATCGACCGGTGGGCGGAGCGTGTCGCAACAGGAGGAGCGTGTCAAAGTCCTTGGCCCCTAGCGCCTTAGTGACGCATTTGGATGCGGGAACTTGGCGAGTCGCCTGCAGCTGCGTCCCATGCTTCTAGCCACTTTAAGGGCTTATTAGGTGGGTCTGAGCCCGAACTTTGCCTTTAAACAGAGTACTGCATGGAGCCTACATTAGGCCGACGTCATACTTTGCGAACCGAGCGATTCGCTCTTCGCTCGCGGTCATTGCCGATATCGGCTAACCCGGCTCAACACGTTAGACGTGTGAGTGCTGAAAGCTATGGTACGTATACCATGAAAAGCTGAGTTGGAATGAAATGGTGCCCCGGTAGCGTAACTGGTAGCGCACTTGCCCGGAAAGCGAGAGGTGCGGGTTCTAGTCCCGCCTGGGGCGAAAGTTTTGTTCACAACCCAGCATTCTTGTGAATGAGTGCAATGAGCTTAGTTAATTCACAATGAGTTAACTTCATTAAGGTTGGTTAAAATATTTCGACGTTTCTCACGTTAAAAGAGGGAACAACACTACATGCTCTGAGAACGTTCACGTTTGTTAAGTTGTAGTATTTGAATATTTCAAATATAGAACCTGGGTATTCTGCGAACATTCCACATCCTCTTTATCTGCTACAAAATTACACCCTGCAGCGGCGCAGAAAGCGTTGCCGTCAGCGTTGCCGCGCACAGCTTTCAACTTCCATGTAGGAATTGCTCGGCCTCCTTAATTGAGGTGTTCCTAAGTAATCAACCCGTCCCTTTATTCGCACATTTCATTAGTTACTTTGCCTACAATACCCGCTCTACAACTTTTCAATGCACTCGGTAGGAAATCCAGAATGTTGTTGTGAAAAGCAAAACGGAACCCCCTTTTTCGGCCGTTGGTTTTCACTCATGAACAGGTAACAGCTCAGAAAGCGGACGTATGAACGAGTTCACCGCAACGCGTTTGGTGGCACCATGCCAAACCACGCTTGATGCTCCAGTTGTGCCAACAACGCAGCTCGTCCAAATCACCAAGTAAACTAGTGGGCGGATCGCTTTTGGGGGCGGAGTGCTTTCGAAGTCCTGCTCAGCAACCAGCGCACCTTTCGTCGTGAAAGCGCTACACCTCGCTTCCCTGGCAGCCAAGTAACTGATTCGTGTGGTGCATATGCTTCCCCGATGCGCTCCCTCTTTATCGTAATCGCTCCCTTAAGGTACAATTGGTATTGGATTGAATTTAGTTTTAGTGTCTGAGCACTACTTTTTTACCACACAACAGATTTGAAAGCAGGTGAC